AAGTTCTAATTGATAAAATCCATCAATAAAGTTTAAAATTAATAAAACAACACAATAAAGACTAATAAGACAATAAGATGTAAAAAAATTTTAAATGAAGGCTGAGTGTGGTAAATCTCAAAACACGGAGAAGTATCACTTTCTAACTCTTAGAAAAAGTATCCCTTTCTAACTCTTTAGAAAATGAATTATCACTCTCATTTGCGTTAGTAAATGGTTCACTAACCACACGAGGGTATTCTTCTGCTGATAAATAGCGCCTTCCCGCCATAATAGACTGGAGGTGAGGCTTTCCTAAATAAAAAGAGAAGAAACGGAAATACATCTGAAGGCAATGCAAAATGTAACAGAACTCCATATAGTAATCCTAAAAGACCATAATATATAGTAGAAGAAAAAAATAGAATAAAAAAAGGAATTTGATATAAATCAGACACGCAAATATTTATTTTAGCACGTGGGGATTTAAAGAGCTCACCTCTATTTACGCTTCCCCCCCCCACCCACTCTGGCAATAGTTGATCAGTAAAATACCAAAGTTAGACAAAATATATCAAACTCAAGGTCAGGAACCTAAAACTGTGTTCATTTCAAAAGTAATGAACATAGGATGCCATCTAGTGGCCTTCAGAAAAAAGTTCCAGCTTAAAATGCATATACACATAACCCATCCTCTGAATACAATCTCTAGTGATGCGTGGATGGGACGCCCGCCCTGAAAGGGTTAAATTCCAAAACCTCTTTTCAAAGTCTCCCAATTTAAGTATATCAAAAAATATTCCCATTGTAAACACCAGCCAAATAGTTAATATTTCTAATGTTAGTTTATCAGAGAAACAAAAGAGAATTCTGAAATATAATTTTAACTTCTCAAAACCTTCAACTTCAAAGATTTTAGCTTCTATCGAAAATGCTTTCAAATTCAATACAGTTTCAGACACACAGAAAGAAATTATTAGGCATCTTATCACCCATTACATGAAATTTCACAGTAAACCTTTGAAACCTAACCTAAATGCGAGAGAAAAAGCTACATTGCATGAAATTTATTCTATTCTAGATACTATTCATTGCAAAGACTGACAAAGATGGTCAGATAGCCGTCATGGATTAAAAACACTTACACCGTGTCCCTAAACTGTTAAAAGAAGGTCCACATAATCTAATCCTCAAAGTCTCTTCACCTTAAGATCTCTCAAAAACAAAAACTTGGATTAGATCTTCATAAACCCTTTCACACCACTTAAAATCACTTAGCCTATTTTCTGCAAATTGTGGCAGATTAAAATCACTACTAAAAATTCTAAAAGTTGCATCCCATTCCCCTCATTGTATCAAATTTAAGCAAAATTAGTTCCCAGATTTTCGGCTTTGTTAGTTAATAACACTTAAGCCATAAAAAATTCAATAGAGTTTATATTAAAAAAGTAAAAACCATTTCCCCTAGAAATTTCATAACAGTTTCTTTTGTTGTAAAATCATTATTCATCAATATTCCATTGGAAGGTGCACTTAAATATCTAGAAATGAGACTCAGACAATTTCATTTCTCCTGTATCAAAACTAAAGAGTTAATTTCTTTTACTCATCTCTATCTGAAACAAACACATTATGTTTTCCAAAATAAGCATTACGACCAAACTGAAAGATAAGATACACATACATGCACTGGAAGCCTGGCTTCAAAAATGGAAGATACTAATTAATGTGGATAAGTCTTATTCACCAGGAAAAGAAAAATAGAACAAAATATCAAATTGTATAATACTGTTATCCTGTGGGCTAAGCAAGTAAAATACCTAGGTGATATGTTATAGGAATTTAACATGGAGGCTCCACACTACATAAATTTACTAATAAGTTCCGAACTGCTAAAGATAAACTCTTCCCCTTAATCTCTCAGAGCTCAGTTTTATCTTTAGATAATAAGTTACTCCTCTATAAAGCTATATTGCATTCCATAATAACCCATGCTTGTCCTGTATGGCACTTTGGTATCACAGTTCATATGAAAAAACTACAGGTATTACAAAATGTAACCCTAAGACAAATCACAAAAAGCAACCGATTTATTAGAAATGCTGGCATTCATAATGAACTCAAAGTTTTACAAATAAAAACACTCATGGCTAAATTAGCCAAAAGGTTCTTTAGAAACATTCATAAAGTTGAAAATGAAAGTATTCCTAAACTTAACTACGATTATAATGATATTAACAATGACAGAAGGCCTGGTGCTCTCTTAAGGTCATTAAATTAATTACTGATTACTAAATTTACTTCGTAAAGCTGAATATGCTACAAAAATAATATGCCTCACAACTGGGCTCTACTTTAATAATCATTTAATAATATTTTATACTACTCTATCCTCATAAGTAAATCTAATTTCTTAGCAGTATTTAGTGTATGCATTATAAACCCCTCCTCCCTTTTTGGCCCAACCTATCCCAAAATGTATGGCTCTGAAATCCTGCCCCCTCCTATATGCCTGCCAACAGCATTTTTGTGCTGCACTTTCTTCTCTCTTAGTATTCCAACACAGCTACTCATATGCAGATGACCTGATACCTTCACTGGATGATGAACGAGCTCCACCACTGCTGATTGTGAATACCTCTCCTCGAAAGCGAATTGAATTTTTCTCTACAGCAACTACTTACAGATACACCCATTCAATTGAGCTCTCTAGATATATAATTCCCATGGGTCTCAATTGCTATCAGATACGTCTACTCATACGCCATTATTGCTTATCCTTCAAAAAAAATTTTCACGAACTTTCAGATAAAAAGATTTATGTTATGCTTAACAAAAAATATGCACAACCTTCAACTTTGCTACATACAGAGTAGGGACTTGAGAACCTGAGATGTGACTTAATAAGATAAGCCTTATCTATTCTCGCATATGTCTATATGCATTATGATGATAGTTAATGAATATAAGAAAGACTACACAGTCTTGAAGAAGAGAAACTTTTTACAACTTTCTGTCAAAAGAGATGAGGCTCCTATTTCAGCGAGATCACTGGTAAAGTATATGTGATTTGTGAATATAGGTTTATATTTGTACTAACTATAGTTTATGTGGAAATAATATAAGAACAAAAATTTTAACATAATCATCATACCTGATCCTGTCAAGTAAAATATTCACTTTAAACAAAGGGATTATGATTAATTAACTGCATCCTTACTTCTATAAACAGTTTGTTAAACCATAATGTTGAATGGAAATGATTAAAAAATATGAATAAATAATAGAAATTTGATAATTTACAAATTTGGAATTGAATACAATAACCATCAACAAACTCTTTTTGAGCTCCCATTCGTGTTTTTTACTATGGCCGTGTCTATGAAAAGTAATGCCTTTATGAAAGGCTTTCTAAGGGAAATGCAGTAATTTTGAAATTCAACACGTAAGTGAGTAATTCTTAATCCTGCCTCTCAACTACCACTTTAGACAGCTAGGCATAGCTTTAAAATTTCAGTTTTTTTTTTTCCATTTATCTATTATATTTATTACATATAATACCACAATTAAGTATTCTTTGAAAGCCTGAAAATATCACATTTGTTATGCAAAATTTAAACATTTTATTTGAAATTTTAAAAGCTGATAAAAGCATTAAAAATGCCATGAAACTAAATTAGTTGGGCTGTCTTAAACATGACTTTGTAATTACCAGTATTACAAATTGTATTATTCTGTGTGAATATAAAATATTTATATATATATCATCTACATATATTTAAATTACATGAATTAAATATTAAAAATTAAAACTGTTAATAAAATTAAAGATCAAAATTAAATACTATTGTCAAATAGTTCAGTTTGTTGCACATAGCATAATTTTAATTTGGACAAATTTTATAGTGCATCAAATGGTAATGCTAGGCTGTGTGGATGATAAATTAAAGATCTTATTCTACTTGGAGTGGCAATGCTTCCATTTAACTGTTGAATACCACCAGTAATACCACTTAACCCTTGAATTTGGCCAAAACACTGATAATTTCATTTCTAGTCACAAATTTAATTCTTAATCTTGAATTGTGACACAACAGGATGTTGATGTCTAATATAAGTAACATGTCACAACATTTCAGTTTATGTATTTGGTTCTTTATTATAATAGCTTTCTAAATAAATATTTCCATCAGATTTTATTTTGCAGATAAAGAGGAAAAGTGACTCTTTATCTTAGACTTTAGTTATTAAGAGTATTTTAATTTTACATACATAAATAACACAAAAATTAATTTCATATTGATTTTGTTGCTATCAGTGAACAACATAAAAATATATATTCAGATTAATTTTAAAATAAATTTTAAGCACTTTCTCCAGTATAATTTAAAATTAATTTTGTTATTACCATTAAGAAATGTAAAATACTACAATTAAACATAGCAATTCCAAAAAAAATTATTTAATAAATTTCATATAATTGTCGAATGAAATATTCTTTTCTTACTGCTAAATAATTTAAATTGCTATACTTTAAAATTTCTAAGCACTTAGTTATACTGCAAATTTCAGTTTATTTTGTTATTAGTGATTTCTACACACAGAAGCTATTTTCACCAAAGAATGCCAACATAGATTTTATTTATTATTACTGCCATGCAATATCAGTAAATCCACAGCAACTTTATTTCTAATGTGCAAATAAATTTCTAGATGCGAAAGAAAAAATAATTTTAATGCAAATTTCTTACTATTAGAAAAATGATAAATTTTCATGTTTTACTTATATGTTGCAAATCTATATAAAAGTACAAATCAAAAATAGCTTATGGATGTAAAAAATTTTAAAGTGCACTCACACTATGAATAGGTAATATTTTAGTTCATTACTCTCCCAAAGCAACATGCCTTTTTCATTAAAATTAATGCAGAATCATAGTCAAATGTGATTATTTTTCCAATAGCCAGTAAATCAAATGTGTTTCAAATAATAAAATTAAAATAGATTATCTTTGACATACACGGTAACATACCTTCCAGTTGTTTCCCAGGGGAACTCTGAGGCTGCTGAATACCAACAGGTGGGAATGTACCTTTAAGAAGAATTGATAAAAAGATTTAAATTAGCATAAAATAAATAAATAAAATAGACATACTTTCCATGACTCTCAAACTTACACAAATTCAAAATAATTTTATTAAATAAAAAATTTAAAAAATTGCACTTTATGCACTGATCAACTGCATTCTGGCATTGACATCTGACAGCTACACATTTTAATTGTAATACTTTGCTATTAACTGTCCTATATTAGATAGAGTTATTGGAGTTTCTTTACCATTTAAGTTTCACTTTTATAATTATAACATAGACAGGCTTTGCAAATGATTAATTTATACTCAACAATTCTTAAATACAAAAATATTTTAAAAGAAGAAAACCTTGAAAGTTTTCAGATTTTATATTACGCACAAAGGGTCCTTTTTTTTTTTTTTTTTTTTTTGAATGTTTAGTTTGTTTCCTTTATTTATTAAATATCATGTTCTTTGCACTTAAACCATAAAATTCAATTCAATAGCAATATCATAAAATAATTTAAAAAGAGCATATATTTAGAATTTCTGATACACACTCTCGCACGCTGGATATAAAAATTTTTTTTTTTTTTTTCCCTGTACATGTTACCATTGCTCGCTTTGAAATTGTTCAGTTTCTTATTCAAAAACTCATGAATGCTTTACAAACTATGAAAAAAATAATAAAACAAATTCCAAATTTGGGCTTCCACATGCTCATATTCAGGTGCAGACGTACGTTATTCGAAATTTGAAGGCTCTAGGTACCGTTGTTTTATCACAATGCGTGAAATATACATACATTTATGCAGATTCTTCATTATTTAATTTCTTTAAATATAATACAGGGCTCTAATATTTGGTTGCAACAATTTAAAAAGTGATTCGCTGTTTATAGTGAAATGCCACAAAATGCAAAAGCAAAATTAATAGCCCTTCTGGGCTAACACCCTTTGAGCTAATAAATTGAAAATTTCAACCTAAATACAAAAAGCATTCACAAAATTAATACAGGAATTAGTTATTGATACTACAGTTGAAAATTGAGATGCATAAAATTTCTAAACAGGCAATGAAGACAAATGACTTTTTTAACAAAAGTTAAAATAAAATAAACTTCAAGGATTAAATTTTTAAGCAAATGTATTTTCAGTGTAATTACATTATACACTGCAATAGACATGGCTTCACAAAAAGCACAATAAACACCATATAAGATGAGATATTTAAATGCACACAGACACACATACACATATATTTTATGTATGTATGTATGATATATGAACGAGTTATCAAGATTTTGTGAAATATAATATGAGTATAATTTAGTTAGTATCATCACTTCTTTTTTGAAATGCAATATGTTGTGTCATGTACATATTTATGTACATTATGAATGGCAAAAATATGTAACATCACAAGTATATTTTTTTGACATTTTATGTTCTCACTTCACACACATATTTTACCTGATACCTGCTGAACATTTATTTGTTACATTTTTAAAAATTTTCGATGCAATGATCATTACAACAGGATTAAAAGCACCCCATTAGGAATGCAAATTTTTGAAATAATCATACTGAATGCAAAGCACTCATTTATGTTTTAAAAATTTATATTAGATGTTAAATTACCGTCATTTCCGGAAGAAACGCCGCAGCGTTTACGTGTTTAAAACTTAAATTTTCAGCGGGTGCGGCGTTTAGGTTCACTAAAATGAAATATTTCCTATGATGGTCATTGTACATAGTTTGGATGGCCTTGTCATTGTACATAGACTGGTGCTGTTCCCACACAAAAGACCACTCAGTTGCTTTTCGTGAACATTATTTTGTTTACATTCTTTCACTTGAACGGACCTACATACCTTATTCACCCTAAATGGGATCTCAGAACAATAACATTATTCTCCCTTTCAAATCAACATTCTCATCAGTTTGAATACTCTCTCTCCTCTGCCATTCGATGAATCTTACAGGACCCATCCTCTCCCCACCCCTGCCTTTCCTGCAATTTTTTTTCAAAGGCGGCACGACTCCACCTGCCTCGCAATAGCGAACTCCGACGTATTTCCCCTTCAGCATGAACCGCGTTTTCTTGACATTCTGCTAGATACAGATCCCATCAGTTTGGGTACAAGTACTTGTTGGATAGTTTTTAAGTAAGAAGAGAGCAGAAAATTTTTAAAAATGTCACCTAAACGACACAGAAACTATACTGCTGGTTTTAAGCTTCACGTAATTTCACGTGCTGAACAAATTAGAAATATAGCAGCAGCTCGAGAGTTTGAAGTGGACGAGAGATGTATTTGACGTTGGGAGAACTGAAAAAGAACTTTAAAATATGCCACAACAGAAACGATCCAAAAGAAGTGGTACTGTAAGGTGGCCGAATCTAGAGGATAACCTTGCAAACTGGATAAAGGAGCAACAAGGAAAGGGAATGGCAATTTCGACTGTAAAAATTTGCTTACAAGCAAAATTTATAGCAAAACAAATGACATAAATGATTTCAAAGGAAGGCCTTGCTGGTATGCAGATTTATAAAAAGAAAAAATATTTCTGTGTGTACTAGAACAACAGTCGGGCAACAATTACCAATGGACTGGCAAGATAAAAAGGCATCTTTTCTAAAATATGTGACAGATATTATTGACAAAAAAAAAAACTTCTTCGGTCACAGATAATAAATATGGATGAAACGCCGTTAGCTTTTGACTCTCCTGCAAACAGAACTGTTGATGAAACTGGTGCAAAAACTGTATCTGTGCTTACGACGGGGGCATGAAAGAGCGTCATTTACATGTGTGTTAGCTTGTGCCTGCAAAACGGGTGACAAGCTAAAGCCGATGATCATTTTTAAATGAACCCCATCTTGTGTTTGGCAGTTATAATCATCCTTGGTTTTGCGCCTATCTCTCACTCACTTATTTTTAAAGGAAAAACTATTCCAAGGGGAGATTTTCCTAATGATGTAATTATTTGTGCAAACGAGAACGGCTGAATGTGCAAAACAATCATGCATGAGTGGCTACAAAAAGTTTGGCAGTGTCGTAAGGGATTTTTTTTCCAACCAAAAGGGTTATTGATAATGCATTCCATGCGTGCTCATTTACTTGAGTCAGTGAAAACCAGATGTCAAAAATTGTCTACGATTGTAGCAATAATTCCTGGTGGTTCGACAAAAATCTTACAACCATTAGATTTGTCAGGTAATAAATCCTTCAAAGCTGAAGTTCGAAAGCGGTGGGAGTGTTGGATGAGTGAAGGATTGCATACGTATACCAAAAGCGGTAAATTGTGTAGAGCATCTTATGAAGAAGTTGCAAAGCGGGTAGGAAGTTCGTGGAAATCAGTAAAAACATCGTCAATAATAGCAGGCTTTAAAGAAGCTGAAATTATATCCTTAGATAAAGAGACTGTAAACCAAGAGGATGAATGTGATGATCTGGAAGACTTGGACTTAGATCAGGATTTAATAAATCTTTTTAATTCAGATAGTGAAGAATCAGATTTTGATGGCTTCATATGATGTATAGTTTGCTGTAATTCCTTTTGTAAGTAAAATTTAAAATTTCCTTTTGTCATCCAAATTTAATATTTCGTTGTTGCAACATTTTTTATAATATAGTCTGAGTATTACAAATATGGACTTCTTTAGTGGATAAATATAAGTATATATGTGAACGTAAATATATTTTCAACATTTTTACCTTTAATTTATTTTTGAGTTATGGTTTCATTTCATGCATTTTTCTTAACTGATATGTCATATACCAGGACTTAGGTTGAGATTTTGCATTTATACAGCCCACGACGATAACATGTGCAATTTAATCTGTTGTGGCGTTTCTGTGCAATTTTAATTTGCTTCCCGCCATATTTCTCGAGTGCGGCGTTTCCGCTGATGCCACCTTTCTTCCGGAAATTACGGTATACTTCCTCAAACATCTACCTAAATTTTCATAAATATGCATACACAAGAAAGTTAAATCTTGATTCATACAATGCATATAACTTAATTGTATAAATGCAACTTATGGCTATCAAATCCTATGAGCTACCTGCTACAGAACAGACTCTTGTATGCAATATTTTGAAAATGAAAATTTTCATACTGATGTTGCATATGGTGAAAAATAAGCAGACAATTAGCCATTCTGTTGCCAGTAACTTAACCTGAAGCATTAGCTTCAAAAAAGTGACGGGAAGCTTAAACCACATTCATTTCCTGCATGCTGATTGCTTTATCCTCCACAATAAAACTTTTCCAGCACCAAAGAAATTCAAAAGATGACCAGTACTCATTCATAGTCAAATTTTTATTTTTTACCTGCAAATGGCTGAATTCCTTGAATACCAGTATAAGCTTGCGTGAGAGCATCAAGATTTGATCCATTTGCTGCTAAATTTGTCATGTTCCCAATCCTAAATAAAAATTTGGAAAAACAATTTTTATTATTTTGTTTTACTTTAGATGAAATACAAAAATCAGACAAAAGACTTGCATTCAGAAATACAAATAGCAAATTGTTACACATATCACATCTGCTTAAGAAAAGGAAATCACACAAATAATCTTTCTGATATAAGTCATTTCTATCTGTATTTTTAAAAGAGGTTGAACTGTTGACAAAGCAATGATTTAAATTTTTATCATGCGCAAGATGCAGCAGAACCCTTTTCACTTAATCAGCATAGGAATAAAATACAACATATTTTTGCACGTACTTGCTTTGGTATTCTCACAGTGAATTGTTAAATCTCATAGAAATGCATGCTTATCAAGATAAAACACTATTAACACTACTTCCTGAGAAAATATGGAGTTCTTACTCTCATTGATAAACGCACTCGAATGGCATAGATGCCACAAGTTCTTGATAGATGAGTGGAGACAGATTGCACCAAATGCCCAAGCAGCAGTCACACAAAGTCATGACACTCCAACATGGTGGTGTTTGATCTCTGAGCTACCATTCCAAGACATCTCAAAAGTGCTCCCTCAGGTTAAAATCTGGTGAGTTAGGTGGCCATGACATTAATTGGAATTCATCCTTATGCTTCTCGAACCACTCCAATTCAACTCAAGCCTTGTGACATGGTGCAATGTCCTGCTTGAAAGATTCCATTTCTAGATGAGAAGACAGACACCATATAAGGCTTCAACTGATCCGTAATTATGTTCAGATACTCTGCAGCTTTGATGGTCTGTTCTAACAAAACTAAGGGTCCCAGAGCGACTCATGAGAACATCCCCAAAAGCATAATATTGGTTGACAATGAAGCTCGGCCAACATAGGCCCATGAGTGGGACATCTGCTGTACAGTTCCATATCAAATAGTGCCCGCTGAACTGTGCATTCCGAAGCACTTTCACCTGGACCTGCACTGTATTGGGCTGTCAGTTTAGCCATTGCCTGGACGTGATTTTGCTGTACCAAGCAGAACATTCTCTGACATCCTTTTGCTCTGATGATGTGTAAACATCCATCACCTTGGTATCTGCTGCTGATTTCTCCATTATTTATTCACTTTGCATAAATAGTAACTAGAGCAGATTGTGCACATCCTATCAGTCAAGCAGTTTTGGACATACTCGTTCTGAGTCTTTGGGCCATTACAATCTGCCCTCTATCAAATTCGCTTAGATCATCAGCCTCCCTCATCAGTCACAAAAGTAAGTGCAAGAATGATTCCTTATCTTCTCCAGAAGCAGTTAAATACTATTTCCGCTTAATCACGTGCCCTCCATGTCATCCAGATGAGTTCACTGAAAAATGTGGGGATGGTTATTATGTTTTGGCTCATCAGTTAAGGTTAAGTTAATCAAGGTTACTGTTCTGTTATTGGGACCAGATTCAGAAATGTATGAACATGTGTCTGCATGTATGTGTATGCACACACATACATTCGTACTTACATATATACATTGCATACATGAACACATAAATGCATACACTTCTGAACCCGGTCCTGATAACAGAGCAGTACTGGTTCAAGTAATGCAGAAGTAAAATGCCTACGACCATCTCGTTATTTAAAAATGTTTTTACACTGTCATCTCTCAATTCTTAGATAAGAGATAATTAAAAATTTTTATATACAGTAGAATTCCAGAAATCTGCAAAGCTTGGGACCAGAGGTCGTGCGGATTTCAGGACAGAAAAGATAAAGTATAATATTCAGACTAAAAATGCAAAATGACTAAGACGTATTAGATACATCTAATTAATTAAATTATTAAATACATTATTGCAATAATTTATTATATGCATTAAATTATTATTACATATATAATTGATTATATTATTCATTGTATTATATGTACACAGCATCGGCGTTTGCCGATTTCGCCTCATGCAAAGATTTCCGGTTTCGGATTCTGGTGTTAGAATCACTGCTGCTGTAAAATTTCAACAGCTTTTCTTTATTTTTCCGCATATCATACACAGTCGTGTCACAATTCCATACCATTTTGCTATAAATCGAGGAGTAGCACCTGCTTCCCTCTTTAGCAGAATTTGCACTTTTTGCATTACCGTCAATGCAACGTGTTTACGTTTTTCAACGTTGCAAACAGTAAAATCACGAGTGCATTTCTTATTGTCATTGTATAAAAAAGGGCTGAAATTAAAAATATTTTTAATTTATCCATAAAATATCCGGATAAAAAAAAAAAGGCAGCTCTAACAATCTCGTGAAATGAAATAACAAAGCTCAGAAAATACAACAACATGAATTGTGAACTTGAACAAAGAGTTGAGTGAATCGTCTGCTTTTTTACTTTGATGCAGATTAGAGGGAAAAAAACTTATTTATTTTATCTTATTTTTTTTTTAACCTTTTTATATCAATAATTTGGCATTTCCCTTTTGACTCATTATTATTCGGTAATTATAGCGTCATTATCCGTTAAGTATTTTTTTCTTCGATATTTCGTACTCAATGTTGCGGTTTCCGGAACCTATAAAGTGAATGTTTATATTCTGAGAGGCAACGTGGATTTCAGGAGTTGGCGGATTTCAGGTCGGCGGATTTTCGGTATTTGACTGTATTTGTAAATCATCCCTTGATCCTGAAGTTAACATGCCTTTAATTTACTGTTAAAAGAGCATATTTTTAATCACCTTTTGGAGCTACTGCAAACATGAGCAGCAAGCCTCTTGCAATGAAAATCACTCAGTTTATGAACAGGTACAGACAGAATATTTTAACTTTGGCCCTTAGGTGTTGCAAAATGTTAAAAAAATCGTAAAGTATACTTATTTAATTAATTATATATGCTTACTTATTTAATGTTATGTGTTTCGTAAATATGCTCTTTCTAAATTCTACTCAATTTTACATCAAAATAATTTTATTTTTGCAAAAATGTTTACAAAATAGTTACTTAGATCTTAGTTTATAATGCAACAGAATAAATGTTCCCCCCCAAGTTTTCCCAGGTAAATAAAAAGGGGGAGAAACTTGCAGATCTTCCCCCATGTGTAAATTTCACATACACCATATTCATAGAAGTCCTTATGCAGCCTTTATCTTTGTAACTGTGTATCTGACACATTCTTCCAATAATTCTAATCACAGAAGTGCTTTTAATAAGAATAATAGGTACTTATGTATTATTTCAACCACCTAGAAATCATCAAAGTTTAAAAATGCATCAAGCTCTAGTAACTACACACATAAAAATTCTTGAGTTTTAAAAACCAATGATGACATTTTCGTATGCATTCTTTTTAATGTATTCTAAATTCTGATGGTTTTTATAAATAAATCATATTTTTTGTCTTAATAGTATTTTGCACTGAAGGAAACAGTTGCTTTAAATTTCTTTTTTAAGATGATTGTTACAAAACTTTCACCTAAATAAAAGTAACTTGTAAATACATTTATTAAACTGTTTTCCAGATAAATGCCTCATTAAAATGTGGAATTTGTCATGAATTTTTTTTTTTAAATTATAAATCAACATTCATTTTCTTCTGTGAAATTTGGAACATTGTAATCAAGATAGTTGCACTAATACGTAAGTACAGGAAAATATTCATATTATGTCATTTTTAAATTTAAAAAAGCACCAAAAATAATAACAAAATTACAAAATCTAACCTTTCCTACATTCCCCCCCCCAGTCCCTACAGAATGTCATTTAGACCCAAAACTATGCATGTGACCAAAACTATGGACAAACAGAATGCACTCCACTCATCCGGGAACTGGCACTGGATGTAACTGACAGATATACTTGCTATCAAACATTAAAAGCAAAATATTTACAGAAATTTCCATATATATAGCAATAGTTACTTTTGTTTAGGTGAAAGTTTTGTAACAATCATCTTAAAAAAGAAATTTAAAGCAACTGTTTCCTTCAGTGCAAAATACTATTAAGACAAAAAATATGATTTATTTATAAAAACCATCAGAATTTAGAATACATGAAAAGCATACGAAAATGTCATCATTGGTTTTTAAAACTCAAGAATTTTTATGTGTGTAGTTACTAGAGCTTGGTGCATTTTTAAACTTTGATGATTTCTAGGTGGTTGAAATAATACATAAGTACCTATTATTCTTATTAAAAACACTTATGCAAACACCATATGCAAAAGAAATATACAATGCAAACATCTTTATCACTTCACAGAAAAATTTATATCCATTCAAAAAAAGGGAAGGGCTCTCATATGATTAAGATATATATTTTGATGTCTGAACACAAACCAGAGAGTGAAATATTTTAATCTGTACACAATTAAGAAATGAAATATGAGTTTAGAAAACTTTTTTTTTAAAGTGATGAGCATTATTATGCAGACCATTATGAAATATTTTGATACAAATTTTTTTAAAGGGAGATCTCATTCAAAGGATCTTACAGGAATCATATAATCATATTGTAAAAGACAGTGGCAGGCTTCAACACTGGAACATAGCCAATTCATAGCATTATTTGCATAAATTAAAAGTGAAGAATATTTCTAGTGTAATAACTTTTTTAATAACTATTAGATTAGTTTCCTTAAGTAATAAATAAAACTGAATGTGAATATTATTCATACAATTTTATTATTTAAAATCTATAAACTACTTTCGTGAAACACCCCCCCCAAAAAAAAACGACGACGGCAAAAAATTCCAATATTGAAATTAACTATCTCCAACAATTTTTTGCCATACAGGAGTAAACATTTTAGCATTTTATTAATTTTTAATAAGCATTACTTTTATTAAATACACAACTACATGTCAAGACACTCTATGAAATTAAAGTTCATAAATTTGTTGATCTTCAAAATTTAAAAATGACAAAGCACGAATATTTGCATCATTTAAAACAGTTTAAAACTGAAAGCACAAATCTTGGCCAAAGGTTGCAAAAATAAAAGCTAAATGAAGACTTTTATGGACATGGTGCATACTTTACGCAAGGGGTTACACTAAGCCTCGAGATAGATTAATATAGTTTCACTTAACATTAAAGTTAGGGATAAACTCTAAATTACTTATAAAGTAATACCAGACTATGTAAATAAGACAAACATAGTTTTTAGAAATGCATTGTGATAAAATCGTCTTTCATTTAAACCTGTATGGTAACTCGGAATGAAATAAAAGCATGCATTTTATCAAGAAATAAATTGTCATATTAAATATATGATAGAAATAATTATCTGATTCAAAATTGGATAAATCTATACTTTCATAGTCAATTAATTACACCAGGGTTACCACGCTACCTTCCTTCCAGCTCCAGCGATTGATTTTCTGGCACCTCCAGTCAGATAATAATCTGAACCATACTTTTGGCTTAGACCAACATGCTTTTAGGCCTAGCCTTTCCACTGAGTCAGCCTAACACCAACTGGTGTGGAGAATAGAAAAAGCAATTATAGATGGACACTTTGCCATTGGGATTTTACTGGATATTATAGGAGCCTTTGATAACATTGGTTTCGAGAAAATACTTAAAGCCCTTACTGGAATTCATATTCACCCTATGATAACTAGATGGGTCATCTTTATGATTAAAAACAGGAATATCTGCGTTAGTCACACTGACTGAGAAGTAAAGAGAGATATTACTAAAGGATGTCCACAGAGTGGTATTCTTTCTCAGTTCCTGTAGAACCTGGTATTCGACTCACTCTTAGTACTTCTACGGGAGGAACCTGGCACGTCACAGGCTTATGCAGACGACCTTATTGTGTTACTACAGGGTTTCGATATTGGAACCCTACACAATCAAGCTCAGCAAATCTTGAATAAAGTATCACACTGGGGGGGGGGGGAACAAATGGCCTATCTTTCTCTGCTGAAAAATCAGAGGTCATAGTTTTCACATGGAAAAGGAAATGGAAACTGGCAGATTTGTATCAGTGTAACCAGATTATCAGACGTAAGGAATGCGTTAAATACCTAGGATGTTACCTGGACAGTAAACTCACATGGATCACCCATATAAAGGAAAAGGCACAAACTGCCACAAATGTACTAGTACTTTGCAGGCGAATCACTGGTAAACACAATGGGGCCTTAACCCAAAATCTACTCTATGGATTTATACTGCCATAGTCCGGCCAATGCTTTCTTATGGATGCATGGTCTGGATCAATGTCATTAACCAAAGCACATATTTAAACATTTTACAAAAGGTGCAAAGACTTGCTTGCCTATGCATTGGGACTTTAAACAGTATCCCTACTGCTGCATTAGAATTTTTATAGCAAATTCCACCCTTGAAATTATTCTTGAGCGGAAAAGTAATTAAAGCCATGTATAGGTTGAATAAAAATGGCACATGGCGCCAAAGGACAAGCTTCGGTCATAAAAGCCACCTAAAAAGACACATTGACATATGCCTGGACTTGGGCAATGAGATCCCTATAATCTATATGCCCAAAAATGCAATTACTAAAACAATAGTTCCAGATATACTATTCTCAACTTATATACCAAAAAGGAATGAGATAGAATCTCTAATTGACCTAATTCTAACAGGATCAATTGAATGTTACACAGATGAATCAAAATCCAATTTCACAGGAGCTGGAGCTATTATAAGAACCAAGGGATCTGGAGAAGATTTCATCAGATTTCATCTATGCCTTGGTAAGCTAACAACCGTTTTCCAAGCCGAGGTTCTGGCGATCAATATGGTCGCCAGAGAGCTCTTAGCTAAAAATACAGTTGATAAGAATATATATATTCTGACAGCCAATCAGCCATCCTTGCCCTGGCTAATCATGTCAAGTTACAAAACTGTGTTTTGAACCGTACGCAAGATTTCAATTTTCTGGCTCAGGCCTGTAACACCATTATAGTTTAGTCTGGGTCCCAGGTCATTGTGATTTTGCTGGAAATGAACTAGCTGATAAAGTAGCTAAAGATGCTTCGCAACTACCCATGTCTGGCCCAGAACCATTTTACCCAGTTTCATATCAAACGGTTTTTTTAAAAAGAAGTAAGAAGCTGGATATAAGAAACAAACATGATAATATATGGTCTAAACTTCCAGACTGTGCTCATTCTAAATTGGTGCTCAGTACACTTAACTTATCAGGTAAACTCATACACCTCAGTAGAACTAACGCCAGGTAATTCAAATTGTTACTGGACATGCTTATCTGGCCAAGCATCTCCACAAATGTAGTCTTGTCTAATCTCCTCTTTGCCCAGCTTGTGGAGAAGAGGAAGGAGAAGAAGAGGAAACACCTTTTCACTTCCTAGGATGATGTGTGGTGTTTTCTGTCTCTAGAAACAAATTCCTTGGTTTTCCCTATATTAGCTTTGATTAAGCCCTTCTATACAAAGGGCTCTCTGGCATAATAGGGTTTCTGATGTATACTAAACACCTACAAGTAAGGTGAATTTGAAACCACAAGAAATAAGCATTGAAACGCCCTGCAAGTTTTTTTTTTTTTTTTTCCTTGTGTGTGTGTGTGTGTAAAAGAAACTATGCAGGGATTAGAATATAATTTGGAAATAGATATCAAATCTTTATACACCACCTGGCCATTTGGCTTAAGAAAGTACCTCTGCCCTCCTTATTTAATTTACTTATTTATTCTTTTATATATATATATATATATATATTTATTTATTTTTACTTTAGACTCACCACATCCCACCCTTGTTTGGTCAAGAGTTTGCGTTTGGTGGTTTGGGAGGGACTGAACCAGCTCTTCATCCAATTGGGAAGTTTTAACCGAAACCCTGAATATAGAGATGGAATCTTTTGCTGATACTATATATTTGGTGTCAGTTTGGGATCTTATCTAGTTTGGGATCTTATCTAGTCACGGGAGTTACCATTTAAAACCTTTGACTTAAATGATCAAATGGCGGAAGAGCAATGGGCAACATTGCGTAAGCTCTTTTCCTTCTTTTCATAAGAAGAAAGTGCCACTAATGTTATGTTACCACGCTACCTGGAAAACCGGAAAATGTCAAGAAATTCGAAAATTGACCAAAAAATTCAGGGAAAACTCAGGGAATTTAAATATTTTAGTCAAAATCTGGAAAAGTCAGGGAATTTCATATGGCGATACCTCCCAAAAAAGCGAGTTTTGTGCCAACGTTGAAAGCGGTCACTTTCTTGGCAAATTATGTATTGCGTGAATGTCATTCGGCCAGCTGACATAGAGCCAATTTTCGCAGCTCCAATTAGATTGTCTTTTAGAAAGGCAAAGCAAGTTTCCAGCAAGTTTGGTTTCCAGTAACGTCGAGAATCGAGAGACTTGCATGTACAGTGCATGTTTAACTAAAGAAAATATGTATTTTCGTATAAAACAAAATCAGTTTATTCCTAGTATATGGTACTATGGAGGTTCATGTATTCTATTATAACCTCCATCTGCGGTACACACGGGATTTGGCCACATTATGATGATTTTAATGTTGGTGACAATTTTCAAGATCGTTCCAAGGGCATCGAAGCGTATACTACTAGGATTTTACCGCAAAATCTTTTAAATCTTTTTTTTTTCTTTTTAATAAATGCCTTATTTGTCATCTTGCAGTAAAATAAAAAATTGTAATTAGTCATCCAGGCTAACCATTTCTATATTCGCCAAAATATCGTTGATTATTCTAATTCAATTTTTAAGTTTTTTTTTTATGTTACCCATATCAATGTTGCTGCTTCCCTCTAAGTTGATTTATTATTAGTAAATAATACTTTCAAATTTCAGGAAATTTTCTCAGGCATAATCCTGAAACTAATTCTAGCAGTACGATGACATACTATCATGAAATTTAATGCACATATTTTTTGCTTCTGTATGCTGCTGAATAAATATAAAATACCTGAATTTATTTAAAAATATCATTAAATAAATTTCTTTCTTCTTTTAGTTGCAAAATGTCAGCACAAAAAAAAAAAAAAGAGAGAGACATTTTTAAATCCAGATTGGGCATCTTCTGTGCGAAAAAAAATCGCATATTATAGTTATAATGGGGGGAATATGTAATTGGTGAATTTTTGTGTTTTTGTAAAATAATTAATTTACCTTTTAGAACAGCTAATGTACAGTACGGGGATAGACTGGAATTTTCTTAAAACACATCTGGAAAAATCAGGGAATTTCATTCTCCCATTTGAGTGGCAACCCTGTTACATTCACTTCAATATATTCTGGTTACAGCCACAATAGGTTATCCGCCCTGTTTGCAATATTAGTAACTCACATTTTTAACACTACAAATGAACATTTTGGGGCAAAAATATACATATTTAATCATACTTATGTTATGTTTTGCAATACACATTTTAAGGAATACAGGCATGAAAATGCTAAAACAACAATTGACAAAACTTTCTCGTAAATAAAAAGGTATTATATATACCCATTAACTCCAGTAAAAGTTCCCATGTTTGAAATAGATGTGTTGTTTAGACCCAAAGCCATGCTAGTAACGGGACTAACAGAACCCACTCCACTCATTGGGGAACTGGCACTGGATGTACTACCAGACATATTTCCTGCCAAACATAAAAGCAAAATATTTGTAGAAAGTTCAATATATGTAGCAAACAGCACATGCAAAAGAAATATATAATGCAAAAATCTTTATCATAATAGAAAACATGAGAAATGTATGAGTTATAATAAATATATGAGGGTAAGGTGAAAAGTTCTCAGCCTGACAATAAAAGACTGCAAATTTCAGTTAAAAAATTATTTTATTTTTCTACATAATCTCCCTTGACTTGAAACACACTTTGTCCAGCATTTCTCCAACATCAGTATTCCTTCCCGGAAGTGAGAGTCTGGAAGGTTGTGAAAATATTCATCTATGACTCTCTCAACTTCTTCATTAAATGCAAAGTGCTTCCCAGAAACAATTTTCAAATTTCTTCAAGTTTGAGAGCAGATGGAAGCCTGAGGGTGCCAAATCAGAAGAACGGGAGGATGAACGAGCAAATCGTAATTTCCCAAATCGTGCAGTTTTCCCATTGCCAATGCACCCTTATGCACAGGTACATTGTCCTGGTGAAATATGATTTTTTTCTTCTTCAAGCCAGGCCTTTTCTCGCGAATTTTGGCATCCAGCTGGTCAAGAAGGTTGGAGTAATATTTGCCTGCAATTCTCCTCCCTTTTGCAAGGTAATCAAGTAATAGGATCCCTTTTGCATCCCAAAACATACTGGGCATGACATTTGCACCACATGGCAATTGACTTTGCTTTCTTTGACGCTGAACTACTGGCTTCCACCCACTGCTTGGACTTTTGTTTCATTTCTGGTGTGTAATGATGGACCCATGTCTTATCCATGGTGACAAATCACTGCACAAAATCCATAGGATTCCTACTGAATTGCTCCAAAGATCGCAACGAAAATCGTTTGCGCATCTGCTTCTTTTGATCGAAATTCAGCAAATGTGGCATCTAACTTGCACAGAGCTTTTGCATTCCTAATTCCTAATGCAAGATGTTTCTCACCCTTTCTTCTGATATCCTCTCACAGCTTCAGCTATCTCACAAACCTTCACTCGCCTGTCGTCCAACATAATATCATGCACTTTTTCAATGGTTTTGGGTGTGGTTGCGGTTTTCGGCCATTCTTCACGTGGGTCATTTTCGACGGATATGCGACCACGTTTAAATTCAGCTGCTCACTTTTTAATGGTTGACATGGAAGGAGCAGAGTCCCCATAAACTTTTATCAACTTCGGGTGAATTTCCTTAGGGCTTAATCCATCCAAAACAAAGAATTTTATGACCGCACAATACTCAAGTTTATCCATTTTAAATAACTGAAATCACTCAACACTCCAAGAATGACACGCAAGACGTCTACTGCAAAAATTTGTGTAAACAAACTACTTCAGAGAACAAGTTGAAACTTGTCATATGAACTAATAACACCTGCACCCAGGTAGGAAATGTAAATTTTTGCTGATTGGAACGTCATTTCTTAGTCAGGTTGAGAACTTTTCACCTTACCCTCATATGATCAGCTTGCTTAGTAGTAATAACATTCTTAGCAAAAACATCTAAAATTAAATCATTTATATATATATAAATTAGTAACAGAAACTGTCTCAAAAACTGAAGAATTTTCTTCCTTTCTTTCAATGGAAAGATTTCAACCATTTTATAAACCATCTCAACAAAAGATTCTTTATCAAAGCAGTTCAATGCAACAAAGCCGACTTATACCCAAGGCCTGTCAGAGAGGGAAAAAATTCCAGCTCCCAGTTTAAAGTGGGTTTCGCGAAATTCACGACTATGTGGTGCTCACAAGCCGCTATACATTCAACATTTGTAACGCAGCTCATTAATAAAAAAAATGTATTTTATAAGTATCACTATTTGCTAATAGTAACATAGGATGGTATATTGTTGCATGACATAGTGCAAAGTTTTTTACTGACTATTTAGTAAAATTTCCTTAAATTTTCAATAATTTACAAAAATAATACAGCACAATTCTGATAATCTGTAAATGCTTGTAATCCAAAAATGTAAAATTTGTCTCAAAATAATGGATAATCTTACCTGCAGCCGCAAGCCCATGAATACCTGCTGAACCACTACTACTACTAGCTGCTGCCAGTGCTGTTAAATTTTGCATCATCATAGAGTTGATGCCCACTATATGAAAAAAAAAAAAAAAAAAAAAAAAAAAAAAACTTCATTATTCAAAAGTATTAAAGAAGAAGAAAGAATCACATGGCATTTAATTACAAATATTTATATGCCACTTGACATTTCATTACATAAAAATATTACATAAAATTAAACAAGAAGGAAAAATCTGTCTCATTTATTAATTTCTAGTCAACTTTGTCTACATAGATATATTTATTTTGATTAAATGTAAAGCTTGCTTAATTACATTTCAACTGGTACACTTGTACCAACAATAAGAACCAAGACATATGTGGGGCAAATTAAGCACTGGGCTTTATGTAAAAAATGACTATCCCAAAATTAAATTTTAATAAACTTAATGCAAAAAGTAATAAAATTATTCAGAAAATCAATTTAAGATTTGGTTTAAAGAGTTAAGTTTGTGGGCACAACACTACAAAAATTTTTTACTAGAGCACAAATTTTGTAATGCAAACAATATATGAAAATTAAACATAAACACATCAAAATTATAACTCATTTGAACTTTTTAAAGAGCAAAACTACGATTCTTTAACAGATGAAATGTACGTTAAAACACCAAAATTTAGGTATCATAACTAAATTATATTTCTTGTACCATTTATAAATGTGAGAAAACTGATTACAATGTAAAACAAAAGAAAATGTACCCGGGTTGTTCGTAGTTAAACTTGCCAAAGCAGCCAAGCTCTGTATATTGGCAGCATTCACATCTAAAATAAATTAAGGGGATTATGAATAACTTAGTACATTAGTAGAATGAATAATTTCAAGTAATTTGAAAATAATGAAACTCTTGATAACTAAGATAACAAAAACACACTGATTTAAAGCAGAACAAAAATACATAAATAAATAAAAATTTTCAAATTTCTAAAATGAAATGTTAATGATTTTAATAAATATCTCAGAATAATAAAGAAAACTGTACACACCTTTTTCATTATTGTGGACATACCCAAAATATAAATTTTTAGTAAATAATCGGTGTTAAGTAAAATAAACATAGTTACTATTCATTATTATCCTACTCTATAATAATAGTTTGTCAAAGAACTGAAATTTTTAAAACTTGTGTTGAAATCCAATAAAATCAATTAAATAAATTCAATCCAAAAGCTTTTTATAGCCTCTGGTCATAAATATTTTTCAGTCTGACAGAAGTTTTAATCCACAGGCGAACTTAATGCATTTTGTTGTGATTGCTTCAGAGCACCCTCCCTTTCTTTCCCTGATGATGTTTCTTGTTGACTGATGATACATCATTCTTAAACCACAGCAAAACAGTAAATATAAAATAGATTTTTAAAATACCTAACTTATATATAGACATTTTTATCTGCATCTATATGCACATACCACAGACATTCCAGTTACAGAGATTTCTTCCTTCTCTGTATCCCAGAAAGAATGAATGCCCAGACAGAAAGACATAATAAAATGCCCAATGCAGGAAAAACCAAACAATCACAAGAATCTACTACATTAACTTTGTTTTCTTATATCTGATGATAACAGCAACACTTAACTCAAACACCTTGTAATATTATTTTATATAATTTCAGAAGAGAAGAGAAAGAATTTTACAAGATTTCTTGTGTGCTTATTAATATCTTGATACCAGCTCGTTAAAGCAACCACTAAATAAAGCTTTGCAACATCTGAGATTTGCATATTAGTTCGATTATCTTCCATAAAAGCCAACAATTTTAAAAAATTGTATAAATAAACCAAACATTTTTGGACTTTTCAGTAAAGTTACATCACATAACATTTTGCAAAGCTAAGTTTTTTGCAGGATACAGAGAAGGAAGCAGTATTATTTATTGTTCATGAAGGTGAAATTTTTGGCATTTTGGAAACTAAAACATATTGTTGCGTGCGTACAGGTTCGTTATGAAATGAATGCACAAGTCCGATGAAAAATGAACAAAAAAAATTTATTATTATCACAACAAAAATGCTTAAATTTTCTCAAATTATCATGCAGTATTACAATATCTCACAGTAGTTATCTTTTAACTACTCAAATGTCCATAGAACGTAATTCAAAAACAGCTAAAGAAACGCTAATCCGCGAATTCGCTACAATCAACAAGAGCAGTTTTCTAAACAACAACAAACTAAGCAACTACTACAAACTGAGATGTTTTCCTCCTTTTATAAGATTTTAAAATCATGCGCGCTTAGAATTTTCCAGTACTTTCTCGAAATCAAAAAGAGATATTTATTTATTTAATGCACGCGCTCTTGTATTTTCAATTTTTTTCGGCTTAGCTTAGCTTTCTTTTAATATTCGTCACGCGCTGCACTGCGCGAGAAAATAAAACCATTTAATTTATAATTGAAACTAACATTAGCTTTTTTAAATACCAAATTCGTAACACTGCCCCCCTTCCCAAGGACTGCACGTCCCGGGCAGTACAATCCCTGGACAGGAAGCTAAACTTACAACTGTGGCATAAATGCATTAATAAGCATTACATTACAATAATAAACAACATGAACAATAAATGCAATACATAAAACAAATCAAATACACATTTAAAAACAAAAATGGACCATGGTCTTATACTATTTACAATTATTTACATTATGTACTATGGCCATAGTAATGAGCTAACCTGTCGTAATGAACGACTTTAGGTTTAGAGTTCGAAGACTTACGAATCCGAACCACGACGTCATTCAGCCTGTTTAGGACTGTGTGTACGGGCCCATCCCAAGGTGACTGTAATTTCGGACAAAGTCCTTTCCGTCGAGTCGGATTCCACAAACCACACCTTGTCTCCTTCGTGGAATTGATGTTCAGTAGCTCTTGTGTCGTATCGGGTCTTCATCTTCTCCGTCGCCAAGTTGACTCGCTCTCGTGCAAAAGTTGTGCATCACTTCAAACCGGGCCTGGAGATCTTGAATATATTCCTCAGACGATGAAGGAGCATCCGGAGGGCGGCCAAACAATAGATCACAAGGCAGACGAAGGTCACGACCGAAGAGCATCTGTGATGGAGAATAGCCGGTAGTCTCGTGGACAGCACTGCGGTAAGCCAGTAAAAAGAGTGGTAATTTCTTGTCCCAGTCCTGTTGGTTTCTGGAAACCACTAATGAGAGGTTATTAAGGATGGTTCGATTGAACCTCTCTACCATGCCGTCCGACTGGGGATGCAATGGCGTCGTTTGAGTTTTGTCAATGCCGAGTAGTTTGCATAGTTCTTTGATTACTGCCGAGGGCAAAAATTCCTTCCCTGATCGGAATGTAACTGAAGAGGCACTCCGAACCTGGAATCCAGTGCTGTTTGTATCATTACCTCAGTAAGATACTGTGACAGCCTCTTGATCAGGAATAGGATAAGCTTCAGGCCACTTGGTGAAGTAATCAATGACAACGAGTATGTATTTGTTGCCATCAGCAGTTCGTGGCAGAGGTCCCAGGATGTCAAAGGCGATACGTTCAAAAGGCGCACCTACGTTGTAACGTTGCAGTCTGCCTCGGCTGCGTTTCCCTCGGTCCTTTCCGACCTGCACAGGCATCGCAAGATCGGCACACCTTTTGCACGTCATTCTTTGCATTATTCCAGTAAAAGCGCTCACGAACTCTCTGTAAGGTCTTCATATTCCAAAGTGACCTCCTGTAAGGGCTGTTTTGTAGTTCTTTGAGGACATCAGAATCCGGGATCTTGGAAGAAGTATCAGTTTGCCATCGGAACGTCTTCCCATCATCCGACTCGAATTTCCGGTATAAGACGCCGTTTCGAATGTGAAGTGAATCCCAGAGTGCCCAGTATTGTTTTGTTGTAGGACTACAGATAGAAATGTCCTGCCATGTAGGTTTTCTGTTTGATGACTCTATTAAATCAAGTATGGGGGTTTAATGTCGCGGTCTTCCAGCTGGTCTTTCCTGACTTCATCATCACTCCACGGGTCTCGATCAGCCGATGTTGATGTTGTAATTTGTCTTGCGACCGGAGTCAGCAGCTCGTATTTCGCTTCCACCCTGGAACAATATCGGCAGCTTTCTTGGCAAGGTCTTCTAGACAGGGCGTCGGCGTTTCCCGTGTGATGATCCCTTACGATGACGGATAGTGATGTCATATTCTTGGAGTCTCTGTATCCCCCTGGCTATTTGACCCTCAGGATTCTTGAAATTTAAAAGCCAGGCCAATGAGGCATGGTCCGTGCGGAGGAGGAATTTTCTGCCGTATAGATAATGATGGAAATGTTCTACAGCTTTGACTATGGCGAGCAACTCTTTCCTGGTGACACAGTAATTCCTCTCCGGTTTAGACAGGCACTTGCTCCAGTACGCCTACTACACGTTCTTGGCCGTCTATTTCTTGGGACAAAACAGCACCGACACTTTCATTGCTCGCGTCGGTGTGTCGAGAATAAATGGTCTTCGGTCGAGCTGAGGATACGTCAGGATTGGAGCAGATGTTAAAGCTTCCTTTAAGTTGTTAAATGCATCCTCGCATTCTTTTGTCCACAAGAACCTTTGCTTGCTCTCTGTCAGCTTGTGAAGGGGTCTTGCGATGGAAGAAAAGTCCTTCACGAATCTCCTATAGTAGGTGCAAAGCCCTAGGAAGCTTCTCAGCTGATGGACATTTTCGGGACGCGTTTCCAGGATTTTTAACCGCTGATACCTTTTCAGGATCCGTGCGTCACACCTTCTGCAGAGATGACATGTCCCAGGTAAGTCACTTCCTTTCGAAACAATTTGCATTTAGCGGGACTCAGCTTCAGATTGGCTTCTTTCAGTTTCTGAAGCACCTTTCTAAGATTTTCTAAATGTTCTTCAAAACTCTTTCCGACGATGATGATGTTCGTCCAGGTATATCAGGACAGGCTTCGTAGGAAAAGGCCTTTCAAAACAGTCTCCATAAGACGTTCGAATGTTGCCGGCGCGATTACACAGTCCAAACGGCATCACTTTGAATTGCCAAAGCCCTTGTCCCGTAGTAAATGCCGTCTTTTTCTTTTCTCGGTCTTCAGGATGGTATTTCTACCTGCCAATACCCACTCTTTAAATCAAGTGTTGAGAACCACTTGCTTCCAGAAAGAGTGTCTAGAATGTCGTCAATTCTAGGAAGAGGTAACTGTCTTTCTTCGTAACCTCATTCAACCGGCGATAGTCAACGCAAAATCTTGTTGAGCCGTCTTTCTTTCTGACGAGAACGATGGGAGATGCCCATGGACTCGCTGAAGGCTCGATGACATCGCCTTCTTCCATATCTTTAACAGTGTTCGCACCTCTTCCTGTTTAGCAAACGGTAGAACGTCTTGGATGTTGCTTGATTGGGGGGATGATGATCGCCGGTATCTATTCTATGTTGTGTCAAACTAGTTCGACCCACGTCAGAAGACGAACGGGAGAAAACAACTTGAAGATCTTTAATGACGCGATCGGCAGTATTTCTCTCTTTATCGTTTAACTGCGCATTCTGCAATAACTTCGATGTAATGCTCTCTGAGGAAACGGATTCTCGGATGTTACTCTTTCTTTCAACGCTGGTTACTAGAGTACATGCTGCAAGCACTTCACCTTTCTTAATAACTCTCGCTTTCTCAGTTACATTGGCGACTTTCACCGGGATAACCGTTTAGGATAGGTCGAAGAGTGTTGAGGCTACTAGTACTCCTTTTGGGTATATTACAGTTATTGGGATATTCTATGATGCCGTAGCGGAAATTTCTATGTTTTCGGCTATGGATCCAG